TTTGAGCAAGTTTTCTAGGAACCTCGAAAAACTGAATCTTCAAATAATAGCTTTTTCCTGTATACTAATGCAATTAAAATTTTTCTAATTGTTAATATTACTATCTCTTTCTCTCTTTTAGTATCGGTCGAATGTCCTATACTTTATTTTTTTTCTATTGTTTTCGCACGTATAGTTCATAACGTAACGTAAGAAAACTTCACTAGTAGCAGCCAAAATGTTTCCTCTTTCATTGGGAATGCATAGTTTGAGAAATGTTACTTAGCTGCCTGGATCGTTTGAAAGAAAATTTGAAACGATTAGACCACTGCCTAGATGCAAAATCTTAAGCGTCTGCAACTCTAACAGTAATCATTTGATCAGGAGGCAGAAACGTGTTCAGTAGTACTGTATACGTTTATCGGCACATGCTTGTTTAGTAATGGAGAATGAACGAAAAATAAAATCAGGTATACTTTTGTAACAGTAAATCAATCTCGTTCGTTTTCATTTCGATACAGTTTAAGAAAGCAACAAGAAAGAATAATAATAATAAATTGAATGGTTGAGTAATAATAGTAACTAATGGCCTGAAAAAAAGAAAAAGGGCGGAGATGAAACGAAGTAGAGGTAAACGGGAATGGTTTTCTTCTGTTTTTTTTCTGTTCTCGTGACTGTAAGAAAAAGAAATCTATAAAGCAAAAAATGTTTGTATGTACATAGGAGTGAATTGTACTGTTATTGAGTAATTCAATAAAAGAAATTTGAACTTATATTTTAAATGAGAAATATGTCAATCATCTATCTGATTCATTGATCTCAAAAATCAAGTTTTAATGCCGCTTGTTTTGGACAACAAAATGTCGTTCTTCTTCTTTTAGCTTTTAGAACATGTACTCCAAGAGCGAAGAAAACGTAGACGATGCATTCGAATCCCATTCACAGTGTTATGTGGAACGGGTCGTTGAGCTCCCTTCATTTTGTTGAACGGGTCCAGTTCGTGTACACCGTTCGAACAAAACGTTTGCGATGATTTTATTTAATGTTTATTGTTACCAAAAGCTGCGCCCTCAGAATTGTATTCTTCAAAATTTATTTATTGGATAAAACATCTTTTTGCTGGAAATTGCGTGTGCTGATATTGCTTGTTGTGTTAAATCTAAAAGGCTAATTTGTACTTATGCAGCGTTTTGTCATGGAATAAGTAAAGGACATCCTGCTGTTTCACGTAGAGGCCGTCATAAGACTTTGAACTTAATGCTCACCATTCATGGATACCACAATTTTTTGTGGAAATATTTTTAAAACAATGTATATCATGTTATACAAGAAAGCCGATTTATATTATTTCAAAACCAATAATATCGTTGAGAGTGATGACAAGACTACTCTCTGAAAAAAAAGATTTATTACGAAACTTAAAAAAGGTATAGAGAAGCACAACCATTTTTAAACCCTTTTAGGTTTCGTAGAAGATAAGGTGCAGTCCGAAACCGTTTTAAGTGCATTGAAACGATTGATCAGTGCATTTGATTATTTCGTTACGTTTTTTTCTTATGATTTTTTTTCGAAAAATCAAAAATTAGAGAAGTTTCAGATATTTTTTAGCTCAGTTTTCGCCGTCCTGTACAACGAAAACACGCCTAAGCTGCTGAAATGGTCCACTTGCTCAGAAAAAGATTTTTTTATAAAAAAACTCATTTAAGCACTTAATCGGTTTCCTACTGCGCCATGTCATCTTGTCTGCACAAAACCTAAAGGGTTTAGAAATGGTTGTACGACTCTATACCCTTTTAAGTTTCGTAATAAGCTTTTTCTTTTAGCGAGTACAGATTGATCTGATGTCTATGATGTTTACAGTGAAATTATGTTAATTGTTTTTTGTTTTCGACCCACCACGATTGTTTCACAGTGATAATGGGCGTGACTTTGTTGTCAGTGTGATAAATGAATCGAAAAAACAACTGAACATTTTTTTGATTTAAAATCAGCATGTCTAGAAACGTTAAAACAACTTGTTATAGATGATTTAGAAAATATTACAACGATTAAAGCTTGTAAACTTTATGTTCGTGGATCAACAAGTGAGTGTACATGCGATTGCAAATGAAAATGTGCTCGAAACAATGACCAGGTAAAAAAGTGGGAGTTTTTTGTTCTCCAAAATGTCATTCTAAATGAGCAATGTGTAAAAATATGGATGAATAGGTTAACGTCCCATAAACTGTACATACTATTTGATTAAAAGATATTTTAAAATGAAGAAATTTAGTGTAGATATTCTGATTTTCTTTAATTCTTTAACTAATAACTAATAAATATAATAATATGAGTAATAACAATAAGAGCATTATTTTAACAGAAAGTAATAACTTTTTGTCTTTATCAACTGTAATCTCCTCTTATACAGGAGAGTTCTAATTTTGTCCAGATTCTAAATTTTTACAACTTGATCAAAATTACAATTCTAATTTCGTCTGGTGTCTCGGAGAACCTCTGGTCAAAACTACAATTCTACTTTTGCCCGGACGAAATTGGAATGCCACTACTGTCCGGACAAATTCAAAATTTGACCGAATTCTAATTTTATCCCTAACAGATATATACGGTCACAGAAGAAAAATATATGAGATAAAACAAAAATAAGATCAAAGGAAAGAAAAGTAAACGAAGCGTGTTTAATGTCGAATATAGTGTAATCGACCGTGAAAACCCTTAGCGAGCCACCGGACCCAAAAAATATCGAGTAACTCGACTCTGAATATGTGAGAATCACAAGAGGCGCTTCTATAGAAAAACTCATAAAATTTTGATATGAAATTGTTTTTCATCTCTCGAATAAGCACAGAATGAGATAAAAATTTTCTGGTTGGTAGTTCGACTGACAAGAAGAAGTCATCACTGTACACTTTTCTGCGGTATCTGTTTAAGAAAAAACAAGAAGCATAAATTAGTTTTATACGTTCTTGAACATGCATCTAGAGATTTAGTTGATGTGCGTCGTTTTTTTCTATGTTGATTGTTATTTTTGCTATTGTTTTCTTTTTCATTAAGCGAGTTTTTACAGAGTGAGTATGTATTTGTTTTCAAAATCGATGACTGTTACTTGTTCTTTAATTCTCTCTATCGATGTTGTGTTGTGTTTCACTGGATCACTTTCTTCGATGGATAATGAAGATAACCCGTCACGACATCGCATGTCAGAAACTCAGGCAAAGTATCTCTGGGAACTCTCTGCTCTTAGCAAAATTGCACACTTCGATACTCGTTTTTATTTTGAAAAAAGTTGTAAAAACGAAAAATACGGAGTAAGACGTGCGTGTGAACGATATAATCTCACTAAAAAAATGAAGGCAACCCAAAGATATATATACGTGCGAAAACAATAGAAAAAAAATAAAGTATAGGACATTCGACCGATACTAAAAGAGAGAAAGAGATAGTAATATTAACAATTATCATTTTCTGTAAAAAGAAAAATATCGGACAAGAGAGAGAGAGAACGAGAATCCTGCTGTAGTATGAAATTGGAATTTGATTAAAATGACGACCAAACATAGTTAAAATTATTTCATCAGCTTTTCCATTTCAACTTTTATTTCATCTTGACGATTATTTGCAATAATTTGTTCATCAATTTGTTTATCAAGTACCACATCTAGACGATTCGTCGCTTCAAGTTCCTTACGTTTTTCTTCTTCACGTTTTAATTCTTCGTCTAATTGTTCTATGACTTTAGCACCTTTTTTACAGCAAATAGCGCAAGACATACAATAAATCAGACAAGTAAGGCAACATAATAATGTGAGACCACCAATAACGCCAAGAACAATATAAAGTGTTTTATGACTAGATTTCTTTTTGGTAGTTGCATGCCGTTGATGTAGCTGTTGAGGTTCTTTTGCGGATACTACCGCTTCAACTTCCTTAAGTTTTAATTCTTCTTCAGGTGCTTCCTTGAGGCATTGTGAATTAGTACCACACACAGCATCATCTCAAATATATACAAAACATATGTGTGCAAAACGAAAAATGCCGCGGATGGACAAAGCGATTAACGGTCAGCATGACATTTTTCTTCAAAACTAACAGAGTTCCTTATTGAATAATCTGGTGAAAAATTTCTCACTAATCGCTAGGCCGGTCGATTTAAAAACGTCTTATCGGTAACCGATAAGGCGCAATCGATTTAAGGTCTAGATTGGTCGTCATTTCCTTCTTATTTTTGCCCAGTTCAATGTATGAGTTGATTAATCGTCATACTACTACTTACTTGGACAACAGAAAATATCTTGTCCAACTGCTTTGCAACATTTGGCTGCAAATTATAAAAATAAAAAATATGAAAAAAATTAAATAAAAAAGAATCAATGACATCAGAACAATACCTGCTCGACCTCTGTATGCTGTTGAACATGTCGCACCAGTTGCACAACATTCATCACAAGTCGCTCGATCACTATCAACAATGTAACATGAACATTGATAAAATAGAATTATTAATATAATTAAATTATAAATAAACATCTTTATACAGTCTTCTTCGTGATAGAAACCGCTTAATAGTTGATGCTTATGCGTTTATCGGCACATGCTTGTTTAGTAATGGAGAATGAACGAAAAATAAAATCAGGTATACTTTTGTAACAGTAAATCAATCTCGTTCGTTTTCATTTCGATACAGTTTAAGAAAGCAACAAGAAAGAATAATAATAATAAATTGAATGGTTGAGTAATAATAGTAACTAATGGCCTGAAAAAAAGAAAAAGGGCGGAGATGAAACGAAGTAGAGGTAAACGGGAATGGTTTTCTTCTGTTTTTTTTCTGTTCTCGTGACTGTAAGAAAAAGAAATCTATAAAGCAAAAAATGTTTGTATGTACATAGGAGTGAATTGTACTGTTATTGAGTAATTCAATAAAAGAAATTTGAACTTATATTTTAAATGAGAAATATGTCAATCATCTATCTGATTCATTGATCTCAAAAATCAAGTATTAAGAGCCATAATCTCGTATGATCAGACAGATGGTTATGCCGATGGTAACCGATTTGGCTGAAATATTCAACATCGAGACAAGTTTATGCAAAAAATGTTGGAGCTTTTTGTCGCTTTGCTAATGAGCAGGTATCGTAAGTGACAGTACTCAGAGAACTGAAAAAAGCGAATTTTACCGAAAAAGTTTCTTTTCTCAGAAACGGTGGGCGATAGAAAGCTGAAACTTTCATCATATATTCAACAGACATAAGCTATGTATGCCAAAAAACGTTCGTGTAGGAAATGTTTGATTCAGTTTTGCCATGGATTTTGCGGATCACTTATAGGCCTTCAAAGATCCGTCGTGTTCTACTTGTGCCGAAAAGCTGGAAATATGAAACTAAATCCGTTTTTGATGCTGATTCTCAAAATATAATCGAAAATTTTGTAAAATGTTGTTGGAAGTCGAAATACAAAAACTGAATTTTCAGAAAAATCCTAGGAAACCAGAGTTACGAAGATCGATTTCTGAATTCATCAAAAGATAGAAGAAATGGTTCTCTTCAGAATAAGATCTCATTCGACGTTCTGCAACATTCATGTACAGAGATGTAGTTTTTTTAAATGTGGTATTTTTTTTGTGCCTTTTTATCTTCGCAGAAAAATGTATAGAATTCCCATGTATTTTCAAAGACTGTATCCCAGCTTGGAAACTTAGTAGAAAGTCGAATGAGGACTCATTTCGAGGAGAATCAATTCTTCTATCTTTCGAGCAATTCAGAAATCGGTCGCGTAACTCTGATTTTCGAGGAGTTTTCTGGAAAATCAACTTTTTGATTTCGACTTCCTCTGACATTTGCTAAAAATTTTGATTATGTTTTCAGAATCAGCATCAAAAACTGATTTAGATTTCACAAATTTCACATTTCCAGCTTTCGGGCGCAGAAAGAAAGAAATCGATCTCTTGAGAGTCTATGGGTGATTCTTTCGAGAACGTACCACGTTTACATCGATCGCTGCCAAATTGTTCGAGAGTAAGAGGACTAGTACAACTCGAGTTCCTGATGACGAACATCGCGTTTAAAAATGTTAAAACAACGGTATGATGGCCTTCTAGACCTGTGGAACTCCCATTTCCCAGCAGAACAGCCCGTTTGTAGTCAGTTTCACCATTTTCTAGTGAAAAATTTTCATTAGCTGGTACCAGCAGATTACATTCTACATGTGCAGAGTTACGAAATCACTACGGACAAAATGTTAAGTACGTTCTCAGGAAAAGTTTTAAAAAGTCCTTTTTTCCGAAAAGTAGGCCTTTTTTGTAAATCATTTTTTCTCCATAAAAGCATATCAACACAAGACAACATGATATGTATTCGCCCCGTCTTTTCAAGCTCTATCTGATGCAGTGGTTAAAATTGAGATTAGAAAGCATTTAATGCTAGAAAACAAGAACTTTTGGAGGCGATTTCCCTCGTTTTTCAGAGTTTGAGTACGTGGCGTACCATTCTACGGGATTGCAGGAAGTGGGATGACATATATTTCGCATGTACTCGATGTGGGCTAGTAGACAAACAGGTTTTCGTCAAGGGCCAAGAACCGTCGAAACAGACGAAAATTATGTGGGATTTTCGCTGGAAAAGCATCTGTT